CTTTTCATTACTCGTGCAGCTTAATCAAATATATGTTATTTTAAACGACCCATTGGTATTAACATAGAAACATCAATGTATTTTTAAAAATTAGACAGCGACGTTCTCTCAGAATTTGTTCTATAGACGTTTATCTGTTGATGACTTTTTGACCTCCTGAATTCTGCAATGAGATTTTTGGGTCGATTCAGCCGAGAAGGCCCGAGTGGAGTTTCATGTAAATGTTTCGTACGGGAAAAAAAATCGCGAACGGGAATTGAAAATATAAGAGCACGTTCTTGCTACTAGAATAAGGTAAAAAAATACCATTTAGTGATACAACAGATTGAAATGAAATATGTATATCTAATAATTATGATATTACTAATACATCAGCAGTCGATCATCTAACTGCAACAATTGGGGGATCTAAAAATTAATGTCCGAGTTTTTTTAACTGTAGACGGGCCTACATGGTCACGAAGAATAATTAATTTTAAGACTGGGGCGAGGTTCCAAGATCCTCTGACAGGTCGTGTATTTTAGACCCAGCTGCTGCCGACGCCACTACCATGAGCGGTTGAAGTATCGGGTGGGGGTAGGGGCCAAGCCCCTCGTCGGAGAAAGTCCCCCCCCCCCTCCTAGTCGGAGAGAAAAAAACAAATTTCGTCGGGGCAAAAAAACATTATATGTATTTTCTACATATTGGTTGACTTTAAAATCGGTTAAATAAGCATTTGAAACCCCTAAATTGTCAAAAGCCCCCTGGACCAATTAAAAAAAATGTAAAGCGACGTCCGACAACGGGCCCACTTTTGCTCTTTTCAGGGACGTCGGGAACATTGGACTACCTGTGGGGCAAATCCTAAATAAATAATGATATGCCTATCCTTTTCTAAATACGTTTTGTATATATCAGTGTTTTCCTAAGGCCAATTTTAACTTTGCCTTGAGCCAGTTATTCTTTGTAGTCAAACAGGCGATAATTCATTTAAAATCGATATTGAACTTTATTATGTTGACTTATGCTTAGATTGAGCTAGAAAGATCTCTAAATTATCCAGTTCATTTTTTTTCAAATTATTTTTTCTGAATGCATCGTAAGCCATTTGTTGTTTTTGTCATTTTTTCTCACGAAGTCAATGAATGAAAATAATTCGCTGATGAAAAAGACTATTTATATTGCTTTAATTGGTTCACGATGGTCATATTGATTCGTGATTTCGTTCATTATTAAAGATATTATCAGAAATTTTATGTTAATAAATATTTAATCAGTATTGCTTAGTTCAGTCTGGAGTGTGCATGTTATTATTTATTTGGGAACTGCTGTTGGCGCAGTGGTGGAATCTCATTTCACAGGGAAAGCACTTTACATACGGTTATATCTTTCCCAGGGTATGCCTACCTGGTTGGCTCCAATTCCAATTCGCTGATCACTGTAGGAAAATTAGTTGGTGTTCAATTATCATGATCAAATGTCTGGGAGCAGTAATAGTAATACTGTAATATGAAGCGAATACTGGACGCGTTATATTATAAACAGATTGTCGTATATATAACACTGTACCGTTATATACCGTATATAGGCCTATATTAACTTATATTACATTAGCAGTAAAAAGTGATTGACTGAGAGTACATATTTAAACATGTAAATTTTAACATTTGCTATCAATTTTGTATCTCAATCGAGATCCAGTCATTGTTTCCCACAGCATACAGCTTTTTTTAAATATATAATATAAGGTTCAAGCATTTTGCGTTTAAATATATTATCTATTACGTCTATTATGACGGCAAATATACAGTATACACTTATAACAGAGAATATACTTAATCAATCGTCGGTGTCACCGTGTCAGAGATAAGACATTAGGTTGAGAATTTATCATAAAGTCGTATGGTTTATATAATATAATGCACGGAAAGGTTCACGTCAAGCATTTTGCGTTTAAATCTGTTATTATCTATTATGTCTATCATGAAGGCAAATATACAGTATACACTTATAACAGAGAATATACTTAATCAACCGTCGGTGTCACCGTGTCAAAGATAAGAAATTAGGTTGAGAATTTATCCCAAAGTCGTATGGTTGCCAATAAACTTAAATCACGATTTCTTTTGTGTTTTATCGATCGCAAAAAATTTGGCTTATCTGCAGGACGTCGATTAAAAATGAGGTGATGTGATAATAATGTCGTACGGCTATTGTGCTTACGTACATCCAACTGTATTTATAATGTAAAACCCCGAATAAGCCCAATGGGTTTCACTCGAGAAGAACTCCATCTCGAATTGAAGCCCCCCTCTTTAATTTGCAAAATTAGCCTCAAAGGAGCCCATCTTGAAGAGTGGGCTTCTTTGAAGATAGGATGGGCTCCTTTTCGAGATAGTAGTGTACATGAATGTTAAAGAAAGATAATAAGCAAAAAACACGCTTGGTTTATACAGTTATAGGTGATTTAATGCCGGTTAATATACTCCATGATACAGACTGATGCTACAATGGTCCTATTTTTAAACCCGTCTTTGCTTTGCAAAAGCAGCTTCGAAAAGAATCCCATCTCAAAAAGAAGCCCACCCAAAGGTCGCAAAAAAGAAGGTTGGAGGTTTTACGGTATATTCAACTTTATAGTCGTTCTCAAGAAAGGACATTATGACAAAACCTTTCCTTTTTATGATGTTAACATTAAATAAACGTCAAACAGCTTATCCTTATATAGTTTTAAAGCAAAATGTAACGAAAACAATTTCCATGTATGATTACATACAATATTTTACATTTTATATTCACAAGGCACATTTATTTATTTATTCATTCATTCATTCATTCATTTCTTATTTATTTATTTATTTAGGTAATTAATTTATTCATTCATTCATTTATTTATTTATTTATTTATTTATTTATTTATTTATTTATTTATTTATTTATTTATTTATTTATTTATTTATTTATTTATTTATTTATTTATTTATTTATTTATTTATTTATTTATTTATTTATTTATTTATTTATTTATTTATTTATTTATTTATTTATTTATTTATTTATTTATTTATTTATTTATTTATTTATTTATTTATTTATTTATTTATTTATTTATTTATTTATTATTTATTTATTTAATTATTAGTCAAATATGGAACTACTGTACGGTAACGTGGCGCAAGTAATTTGCTGCGTGAGAATCGAACCGGCAACTGTCAGGTTACTGTTTCGACTTCTGCTTTCTAAACCCACTCAAGTTGGTAATGGTTTCTTTTTTTCACAGGGCTTGAACCGAATATTATCTTTATATGTTGTAAAATATCAGAGATACTTAAATAATGTGCAGGTTATTTACGTATACTTATAATAACAGAGATATCAATTAGCCTAAGCTAAACTAAGAAAATGTTTAAAACCTCGGTAACCTCGACGGTCTGCTCACTAAAAACACTCTACTTGAACTTAACATTATCATTATCTGCTGCAAAATACCAGAAATACTCGTCAGTATAGAGACTGTAATTAATTAAATCTAACAACGATAATGTTTTATATAACATTATTGTTTTTTGCAAGCAAAAAAATCAATACAAACATAATAAAATCCTATACATTCAGTTTTGAACTGGAATAATCAATTCGAACATGACACAAAAACAGTGACATTACAATAAAAAAATACCTTGTATAAAACAAAATATTACATATTGCAATGCAGTCATATATGCTTAGTGCCTGATACATTTATTTTTTTTTCCAGTTTTTGACAGTATTATTAAAAATGACGTCGTTTGCATAGTTTGATTATCATTTTTATTATTCAAGATAATGATGTTTATACACTTGCAGCAACAACGGTAGATCGTATTGTTCTACTCACATATCGATCGAATAATCGGTGTTACAATCAACGATGAATTACACCTGTGCAACCAAGAAACATTAATTATTCCCTAAAGAAGCGTTCCTTAGGGATATGACGTCATTCTTGAACTAAAGCAACTAATGCAATTATTCTACTCGCGTAGCGGAAGCTGTGCACACCTCACTTTGTGTCGGCAATTCTTATATTTCCAACCTGTTAAACCAAGCTAGAAACATTTGAACATCAAACATTTGTTGTTTTGGAAACTTGTTCAGTAGTTGAAAACAAACTTTCCGCGTCATCATCATCATCATCGTCTTCATCATTACTTCCTTCTGGTGTTCTTCTTGGTGTTTTTCCATTTGTTTCTCTAGTTGATACCGCCGAATATTCGTCATATTTATCGTACTTATCCTCTATATCCTTCATCTCTTTAAGCTGCTTCTTCTTAGCCCGTCTCTTGCGGTTGATTGGTATCGAGGCAATGATCATACCGATGCCAATTGAGACGGAGAATATAAGAACAAAAATAGGCATACGAGCCATGAGATCGGCCTCTGGTTGCTCGTAAGATAACTTGATCATGGCAATAGCAATGAGATTATTCTGAACTCCAGTTTCTATGGATACAGTTGCAGAAGAATCTATTGGAAGTTTCCCTATTTTACGCGCCACTATATACCCAGTGATAAACCCACATGATGGCAACATCAAACTGCCGACAAAACAGAACCACGGCGAGTAAATAACATAAACGTTGGAATAGAGCCCAATGGATATTGTCAATAAGATAAGAGTTCCGGATAATATGTTCAACGACTTAATGCAGTAGTATGCTATTTTTGGGAACTTGTGGCGGATGAACATACCAGTCAGGACAGGAAATGTCAACATGGAGACTTGCACCATTATGCTTCCGAACGGGACGCCGCCGCCTCCACCTTCGGCATTATCTGTGTCAACGAAAGCACGAACGTAAATAAACATATTCAGCGGTAACATACCCATAGCAAGACAACTTGACACAAATGTCATAGTTACACTTTGTATAAGATCAGCATCAGCGAGAAGGGTTATCATGTTACTAAGACCACCCCCGGGACACGATCCCACAGTAACAAGTCCAACGGCCATTAGAGGAGTCAACTTGAGAAGTTTAGCGATGCAAAAAGCATAGAACGGCTGGCATATGAACTGACACACTGGACCAATTATAATAGGAAAGGGGTGTTTTAGTTTATATTTGATGATGTCAAACTCCATCTTACAGCCCATCCCAGTGGTGGTAATGATAAGCAGCGGTAGCAATATATAGTCGAAAATCTTATCTATAACTCGTAAATGTCGAAGTGTCTTTACGCGGAAAGGAGGCGGTTGCTCTGTTGGGCCATGCGCATAGACCTCCATATGAGCAACGTTCACTCGAACACCGGTGATTCTGATAGTTACTGTGATGTTTTCCTCTTCTGATGTCGACTCAATGATAAACGACGAGTTGCTAACTATCTGAAAAGCTTCTTCATTACCACTATCGAGTGCGATTTTCATCTGGCCGTTCAGCCCCGAGACAGTCATGTTTACAGATTTTGTTTCTCCTTCCTCTAAAAACAAAATCTGTGGTTCAAAACTTATTGAAAACATTTCATATTGATTTTCAGCTTGTTCTTCACACGCACAGACATGGACGTGTGGCGTTTCATGGACGTGTGGTATTGGGTCCGTGGTCAGAGCTTTACTGGACATTTTAACTGTAGCGTTGTTCAACAACGTAGCCAATGGCGAAGGTGACGGACTAACCTTTTTCTTGTTCTTGTTTTTGTTCTTCTTGTTCTTTTTATTATTTTTCTTTGGTTTCTTTTGCTTGTCAGTAGGAGCCGATGGATTTATGCTTGGCAATGTATTATCAACAACATCACCTGAAGGTGAATTGACATCATTCACTGTTGTCACCATTCCTCTTCTTTGTCTATCTTTTATCTTTTGATCGGAGTTAGTTTCCTGTATCCCCGCTGTGTATGAAACGACACATAATGAGACAATTAATAGTACTGCAGTCTTCATATTTTTATATTCGGTGACCAGGCCTACAGATTTCTTGAGAGAGTTTGCGAATCTGAAAAAAACAACCGTTAATTGTCATTTAATTGATAAATTATAAAAATTGCAATAACACAATTTGTCAACATTTAGTTGCACTGTGCTTATCTATTTGCAAGTAGGCCTAATTATTATACTGTACATCATATTTTTAATCAGTAAAGTAACCATATGATTTATTAGACCAGGTGGAAGTATGCTTATGTGTTTTTCTTTTTACTTTTTTTGAAGAAACTATTATCATTTCAAACAAATATATAATTTCACAGATTACCCAAAAAAAATATATACCTAGGAAAGAATTTCACGGTTTAAATTCCTAGACCAATGGAGCAATACATTTTGTTGAACTTGTTGAATATTCTAATAGTATTTGAATACTTTTATGTACATATATCTGGTTACAATAATATATCGTCCAAAGAATCGACCGGATCAAATATATGGTTGGACAACCTCTTCGAATCATTAACCAAATGGCTCTTGACCGGTTACTGTGCAGTGCCATCATAAACTTCATGTTAGTACGAGCCATCGGACAGGACGGAATCATGCCAACTATTAATATCAACATGTTCAATAAAAATTCAATCAGGTGCAGTAAAAAATAAGCCATATTTATTGATTTTTTAGTTAAATGTTCTTATATAACTGCACATACGTTCCGCTAAACCACACTCAGCACAAGTGGTCTTTAGACTTTATTATGATTCAAGATATATATAACATACAACCATAATTGTGTGAATTTTTTACATTTTACAAAACCTAATTTTAACCTTTTATTCGCTTCTGCAATATTAATGCTCAGATGTACTGTGTTAATGAATCAATATTATGTACTGTTTAGCTAAATATTGTAAGGTTGTATTGTGAATTAAATGTTTGTTTGCAAAACGACGATCGCCTTTTAAATCTGTAAAAGGCACATTTGCAAAAACATGAAAAAATAAAACAGTCCAATGTGATAACTTGATTGTTAAATTGACTTTTCTCAGAATAAAAACAAAGTATGAAATTAGTCTTAAATTATGGACTGAAGATCGTTCAGATCTGTGACTTCAGACTTATAACGTGAAAGCAATTCGCGATGTGATAAGTAGAAAGATGCAATTACTTTCTTTTTCAGCTTTGCAGTCTCATAATTACTATCCAGTTAACATACCCACACCAACAGCATACACGTTGAAAAGGCATAAAATTGAGATTATGTCACAACTGGAAACTGATTTCATGTTATTTTAAATAGGCAAAGAGAACTGGAATTGAACGGTTAATAGGCCTACTAATAATCTACTGATCTGAGCAATATCAATTATTTGAGAACTTCAAGCCAGATAGTTAACATGGCATGACTAGTTATTTTTGGAGTTTTTTAAGTAAATAGATTAATTTGTACGTTGGGCGGTACATATAAATGTGTTTAATATTTGGACAGTTCAACATAACTTTACAAGGTTAATGTTGGAGTTTTTTTCTTTGAATAAATTGGTTTATGTTTACCTTTGCTGGTGCATAATGCTTAAAACGTATTTATTATTTTGATTGATGAAGTCGAAATAAATGGTAGCGCTCTTGAATTTGTTCTTTGATAATTGTAGACACATGAGTGATTGATGAGGGTTTTAATCATGATAGCTATTCTGGGGTAATGGGCTGCTGATCAGTAACCCTCATATTTAAATCATATCGGACTTTGGATGTAAGCCTATTTGTAAGCGAGACTGTATTTAGCAAGCGAAGTGGCAGTCCCAGCGTATATCGATACATCTAAGTATAATTGAAACAAAAACAACATAATATTTCTATACAGTGATTCATTTTAGTGTTACTGGTATATTTTGAAAATATATCATTTTTGCTTAGTAGATTTCAGCACAATTTATGGTAAAATGGAATGGGAAATGAATCTCTGATGTTTAATAACGCTCTCAAGCCATGAGGTACCGTATATATCATTATGACGATATTACAGCCTATTCCAGCAATTAAATGAAGAACAGATGACGTCATAACAGTAGAGTAGAGTCATGAATATACATGACGGTCTTTCGGGAAGATACATCAATTAAACTAGTTTTGTTCGTGTGTTTATTGATATATTGAAAGTCTAGTTTTACTTACCGAGTTTGGGCCAATTACTCCGGTTTAACTACTGCTCTGGGACGATCGACATCTACCGTTTAATGCAGTACACAAACTGGACTTAAACTTTTGTTATCAACTTCTTTGTATATCTAAAACAGTATTATCTTAACTAAACGGTCTCTGATTGGTGAAGCTCATAATCAGAAAATAAATATTACAGTTATCTTCTTTAAAGAATGAATGCTTTAAACAAAGCTTTCGCTTGGCTACTATCTACCCTACCATACCTGATAATGATAGAAAAATCAGTTGGTGAGATTGAGCACGAGTAGAGAAATAAACTTTTGCAAAGTTTGTTTTGGAAAGAGATTTGACCACTGTTGACGAAAGTCAGGCTACTATCTACTGTATACTGTATTATTAATTTGAGAATTGAGAGGTGAATGACATCGAGTATTTTGATGCGACACGTATGGTCTACGTAAGAAGACATTTTCTTTAAAATCAAAACGATAGTATTGGGTATTGTCGATTGTCCACACTAACAAATTTTATGTGATAAATATTTGTGATATGCCCATATATGGGTGTTGATGTAACATGACATCGTTATGGGCACATCAAACACACTTGTCATATAAAATGTGGTAGTGTGGACAAAACTTTGTTCGTATTTTGTGCGACTAAACATTATGACGCATTAATTAATCTTTCGTTAATTTGATGTTATTTGTTCTGTATTATTATTAAACTATTTTTTTAAAATTTTGTTTTGCTGGACTGAGCAAATTTTTAATGAGGACCAGCATTTTGGAAGAACGCAATTTTTTAGCGATGTATTCAAATATAAAATCTTTTCTCATTTTCTAATTTCTGCCTACTCTCACTTCAAACTCAAAATTAATACAGAGCAGTTGAAACAGAGGCTTGAGAAAAGGTCACTAACACAGATAATCCTACTAATGTAATTGATCAAATTACTGACATTATAGTTTTATTCTTTATTTTAATGTAAAAACGAGATAGTACAGTACAATCCACGAGGTGGTCGATATTTTGGAAAATACAGTAGGCCTACACATTCAGTTCTGTGTTTATTTTGTTCGGTACTACAGTATTCCAAAAGTACTAACGATTCAATCATTCATTCATTTTACATTTATTCAATTAACCAATCAATAATCAAGAGAGCATAAAAAGAGATAAAAATACAAGCAATATATCAATTAATTAATTAATAGGGGTCAAATATAGAAGCATAGCTTGTGTTAGTTTGATCTCGACGAGACAAAAGAAAATAAAATCAAAAATCATTATATTGTTGGATAAAAGTAATTACAAAGTTAGCTTAATGAAATGATATTATGTGCATTTAAAAAAAAAAATATTTTTCATCTTTCTAAATAAATTGGGTTTATTACATGTTTTAATCGTTTGTCAATATCATTCCATAATTTAGGTCCATAGACCGTAATAAAAAAAACAACAAATTGACTTCATCGTTTAACAGCAATTTAACATGATAATAAATAATATAAACATGGCAGACTTGTTACTTAGACGTTATGATTTGTGTAGGCTATTGGTAGAACCCCTACAACGCCATATGAATAAATATTTTACAACGGAAAAATCAAATGAAGGACTGAAATACTTTCAAGCGTAACCAGATATTAATTTTGTTTCTATATTTAGAATTGCAAAGGGAGCAACTGACGTAAGCGTCGACATTATTTGTGTGCATTTTTCAATTGATATTAATTTTCTCCTCCTACTCCTTTACCATTAATACCAGTAGGCGTACTGTTATCCATTACAATCATATTATTTTACAATCATTTTACCACCATCGCCATCACAATGATGACGACGATTATGATTCTGATCATTATCATAATCATCTTATTTCACATGGTGATGACTATAACCATACTTATCGTTATAATCATGATCATGATTACTGTCATCATCTCTATGATGAGGTATATATTTATATTATTCTTATGAATATTATCATACCTATCGTCATTATTAATAGTTTCATTATTCCAATCACCATTCATTACCGTCTTGATAACCATTATAATAATTAACATCACACACCGTCCTCATGATAATTAGCGTCCTTTATTGTAGGCCTACTAATAACGAAGCTCCACCGTGTAGTGACTATGGAGCTTTCTACTAGAGTAGTAAACTTTATTTCTGTAATGTGACGTAGCGGTTTCATTATTTTACCTATTAAGCAATTAACGATGGCATGGGTAAAAATAGATTGCTTAGCTAGATTTACGCGACCGCTGAAGCATTACGACAGGGATGCTGTGTAGTTTGAAATGTATTTTGCTAACATATGTCTTTCCTTTTCTCTGATCACAATTGTCCTGTTACAGTCAATGGCAAATTGTTTGTTGTTTATTTACGCATATACGGTACGTTATTATATACACCTTGGAAAACCATCTACAATCTGTTCACATCGATTTCGTAAAACAAATTGTATGCCTACTCTGAAGCCCATCACAGAGACAAAAATTTTAATTTACTTACCCTAATAACGTTTTATAAAATAATGTTTTTAAAAATAGTTTTCTAAGGGAAAAGACTCCTGATGTTTTTTCAGTTTCCATTTTGAATTTGTAATTCTTCATAATTCGTTTTTGCATGCGTTCTATTTTTGAGCGCTTTTCCCGAAGCAACACTAGTTTTGTTTCGTACATTTGGAGTGTACCAACTAAAAGAGTGTTCGACTGTTGAAAAATTATAATGGTATAAAACAAATATTGAAATCCTTATTACCTACAACCGAACATGATAAACCTACATAATATACGAGTGCCGCGTGACACTATTTAACATCATATAGATTTATTTGTGCATAGAACAGCATATTAAGGCAGTGATTTCAATCAATTTAAATCTAAATGTTCATACACCTGCACAATATCAGATATACATTTAATCTGAATCGAATATATAACAATAATTTAACCAGGGAAATTAACACAATCATTTGGGATCGGTTTATGCTTTAATGTCAAGCTAAGCGTCTTCGGCGTTGGAATCGTCCATTTGAGGATTAATTTATGAGTATCAGTTTGTAAGATAAAATTTGCACGAATAATCGACATACAACCGATTGATATACTTAAGCCATTCATCAGCAGAGCAAAAACCATTCGCTGTTGCTATGCAATTTATTGATGCTGCCATTTCTGAAGCATTATTCAGTACAATTAACATTTCCGCGACTCCTATTGGCTGCGCGTATAGACTGCATGAAATTAACATCCTCCTCGGCTTACGGCCATTTTGTAGAAATCGATGACAGGGAAAACAATAGTCTAAGAAGAGCGAAAAGGTGAAACGACGTTAAGAATCAACGTTCTGGAATAACATTCACTACCGAAAAATAGAAAAAAAAAGGAAAAACGAACATAGTAAAGAAGAGGGGAAAACGATAAGTGATATCTGTGTTAGGGATCGAGGTGACTGGATGATGGTTGATTCTTCACTATGGTTCTTAAGAGGCTCATTAGCTGTCTGCTTAATAGTTCTTGTACAAGTAACGAATAGCGAAGAAATATTCACCAATAATTTCATTGTAGAGCTGCGTGATGACGTCACCGATCTACCTCAATCTATTGCTAAAAAACATGGATTTTCCTATCAAGGAAGGGTAAGTGAAAATGATGAGCCTACCATTTAGATACAACAACAGGTTATTGCTATTTTACGGGGCGTTTTAAGTTTACAATTCAAGCAAAATCTAATATTGAATTAATTGACTGGAATTATTTATTGATATTTTAAGCTTGAATAGGTTGATATAAATAAATGTAAATAGATTTGTTCAGATTGTAAATTTACCCAAAAGATATACTGTGTCAAAATGAATTTTTTTTTTCGCATTAAGACAAGAAATGCATAATAAGGTATATAGGTTATAATAATAATGTATTTAGGCCTATGTGTATATTAATTATTGTAATAAGTTTATATCATTAGTATACGCGATGAGTTGGATATATCTAAAAATATGTTTTGTAAAATCAATAACTTTTTATATTTTTGTTTTTTTGGATCTCCATCATTGATTGCAGATTGTAGTCTTGGCGGATGATCCTGATATCATTGCTAACCATCGTTGCATATTGCGCAATTAGTCTAAAAATGTCATCCTGCCAATAATCTTAATAGAAATAATGTTGACCAAAATAGCCAGTGAACGGAACAGGAATTAAAGGAATTCGTTATAATAACCGCAAGTTATTAATAGAATTTCATTAGCATAT